AATCTAGCAACCCTAGGGCAGTGGTCGGCAAACTCATTAGTCAACAGAGCCAAATATCAACAGTGCAACATTGAAATTTCTTTTGAGAGCCCAATTTTTTAAACTTAAACTATATAGGTAGGCACATTGTTATTAACTTAATTAGGGTACTCCTAAGGCTTAGGAAGAGCCACACTCAAGGGGCCAAAGAGCAGCCTGTGGCTCTGGAGCCGCAGTTTGCCGACCACGGCCCTAGGGGAACAAGGGGAATCAGCAGGAGAGATGTAGCCTTGGGTTATAATCTGGGGATTCCAGGCAAACTGATATCAAGTGGAAGAAGAACAGTCCATGGAGTCTGGTGCCTCCATCTGTGGGCACCAGGGAATAATAATTCACGGTGAGTACACTGTCTGCAGCTGCAGCAATTTTAAAAGAAGCAGGAGGAGACTCAAGTGGAACTCACAGGCATCAGACTTTCACTCTGGGCTGAGCTCCCTTCATTCATGATCCTTGGTTGGAAGAACCGTACCCAAGGCTCGGGGGCACTCAGACAGCCCTGGTCACAGACCCTGTTCACTGCGGCCTGAGGCAGCCTCGCCTCTCACTGTTGGAAAGTTCCCTCTTAGACTGAGCTGAAACCGGTTGCCCTCCCCACGCCCCCTACTCTAGTGTCCACCCACTGGGAGCCTCACTGGTGAGGTTCACCAAGCACTCAATAAGAACAACACCCAGCTTGCACAATCTTTTCTAGAGAATCAAAAAAATGGGAATACCGCCCACTTTGTTTCATGAGGCCAGCATAACCTTGATACCAAAGTTTGACAAGTAAGCACTAGAAAGGGAAATTGCCAATGGGTCTCACTCATGAATTCATGTTGTTAAAATTCCAAGCAAAATGGTGAGCAGAAATAAACCAGCAATAATGATGCTATAGGACAATGTGAGTTGGGTTTATGCCAGAAAAACAGAAATCAATGCAGTTCACCAAGTTAACAGAATGACAAAGAAAAATCATATGACCATCTGAGCAGATGCAGGGAAAACATCTGTTACAAACTCTACTTCCATTTATGACTAAAAAGAAAACAGACACTCAGCAAACTGGGAATAGGAAGGAACTTCTTTCATCTGGTAAAGATTACCTACCAAAACCCTGGAGTAAACGTTATACCTGGTTATCAAATGTAGAGCTCCCTAAGAGCTGCAAGAGGCAAGATGCCCAATATCCCATCTTTAATCCATTCTTGTACTAAGGTCTTAGGGCAGTAAGATGGGGGTGGGGGTGGGGGGGAGAAGGGGGGGGAGAAAAAGAAATAGGAACAAAAGAATTGTAAAGAAAGAAACAAAACTATTATTTTCACTTCCTATAATTGTATTATATATAGTGTTCCCAAAAGAATCTATAACTACTTTTTTTTTCATTAGTAAGAAAGCTTGGCAAGATTTCTGGATATAAAATCAATATGCAAAATGGAGACATATTTTTTGCCAAAAAGTTACCTATAGAGCATTAAGTTAAGAATGTATATTATTTAAAATAGCATGGAAAATATCCAACAACTAGCAATGTATCTAAAAAAATATGTGCAATACCACCAAGGGAAAATTAGGAAACTGTACCATGAGAAGTTAAAGATATCCTAAATAATGAAGAGAAATACCATGTTCATGGAAGACGAAACAGTACACCTTACACCCTCTGTGGACCAATAGAGAGCTCAGCAATAACAGCTCCCAGATCAGAGCAACCTGGGCTTCTAAAATGTGTGGCTTTGGGCATTCCACCAACCTCCCCAAACCTCAGTTTCCTCACCTGTAAAACAGGAAGAGCCATTCTGCCTAGTTGTTAGGAGTCAATGGATGAAAGCCCTTTGTAGAGTGCTGTATGAATGCAGGGGATTCTTACGACTGGCATTATTGCCCCTTGTTGGTCTGAGGGTGGGGAAAAGTTTTCTCTCCCAAGTAGGCCAGCTGTGTACCTGTTTCTGCTCATCAATCTGTCACCGAGGGCAGTGCTGCGTGCTTATTCTGTGCATAACATTTCTTCATTCAGTCCTCATAGCCAACCTACAAGGCAGATGCTATACTAGCCCCATTTTACATATGACAAAGCTGAGGCTCAATCAAGCAACTTGTCATTCATATATTCACTCATTGATTCGGCATTCATGAGCCCATTCTGTGGGCTAGGAGCTGTGAATACCCTGGTGAATAAGACGGACATGGTCTCTGCTCTATCAGGGCTGTGAGTCTAGTTAAGAAGATAGTCAAAAATCATACCTCAACTAACCAGCTGGCAGAACCAAGATTCAAACTCAGGTCTGTGAGACACCAGAGTCCATGCTTTTAAGCACTCCCTCAAGCTCCTCTCCTCCATCCTCTCTGTTGTGATGTAATGATTTCTAACATCCATTCTGCTGGCAGCATCAAGTTTCCATGGGCCTTGCTATCCAAGCTGCTGCACAAATGGTGAGCTGTCAGCTTTGATCTTGGCCCATGTGGTTCTTGTGCATTATCACTGGAGAATGACAGGAGGGAAAGTGAGCAAGAGAGAAGAGAGGCATCCTGGTCTCTCTTCCCACAGCATCAGTGGCATTGTTCCCAATGAGTGTGTGCCTGAGTCCTCGGCTACCATTAATGGCAGAAGTGAGTCACTTATAAATAAGCTACAGGAGCTTTATTATAATTACATCCCGCAATTCAGAAGTGCTCATCATCTCTGTGAAAGGGAGGGCAGCAGGCAACTGGGGCCTGAATGATCCTCTGCCAGGTACATCTTGCAGATAAAACGTCTTGGATCAGGAGCAATTACTGCTAACGTCCAGCCTGAATGCTAATGAGAAGCACTTAAAATTGCATGCAATTCTTTGCCGTTTATACTACCTGCTTCCCCCTTCTTTTCTCTGCTTTTCCATCCTGAGAAACAGACTCTGGAAAATACGATCACTGGCCATTTTGCAGATGAGGAAACTGATGCTCAAGGTCACTCAGCTCAAAGGGCCAAGGTGGGCTTCTAACCCTGAACTTTTTTTCACTCCACCGTTCTGCCTTTAAGGGAAAACATTTCAGAACTCTGGATGTGTCCACTTTACCTGGAAGGTACACAAAATATCCCAAGTCAGTAGGACAATCTGAAAGGCAGCTGGGGTGGTACGTTCTGTTGAAAGCTTTGCCTTGATGAGAACATGGCAGCTGTAGCGAGACCTGGTGAAATTAACTTCAGTCCTACCCTCCGACATCCCACAACCACCAAGAAGCCCACATTTGTTCCTTAGGGACCTGAGAAATGACCATGAAGAGAGAGCCTCGCTGCAAGAAAGGAAGAGCCTTTCTCCTGCCCACACAAGTCAGAAAACTGCCCCAAATCCATTCTGCCCAGAAACAAGCCAGAGAGTAAAGTTTAAGCTGCAGCGTGAAGGAGTGAGGTTGGCCATAATAGTGATAACGGTGGTAATGCCCAGCTTTTGCTGAGTACCCAGTAGAACTCTGGAAAGTTTAAATAAGTCTGCACTGAGACTTTGGGATTTAGGCTATTTAAAGGTTGAGATTTCACTACGACTTCGGGGACACACATTGACATCTAACACTATATCTCTTCCCCCTTTACAGACAAGAGAGCAAGAGGCTTACAGAGGTGGGGGGCAGCATGCAGGTGGCAGAGCCAGGATAAAAGCTAGCCTGTTTGACCTTCACAGCTAACGTTTAAGTAGCACTTTTATGTATTACATGGCACCATTTAGGTGCTTGATACACATGAACATAATTCTCTCACCAACCCAGTGAGGAAGGTGCTATGAACACTCCTGCTCTAAAAACGGGGAACTGAGGAACAGAGAGGTATAGCAACTTGCCCAGTGCCACAGAGCTCCTCCGTGACAGCACTGGAGTTTGAGCCAGCGCCAGAATCCACAGCTCTGTTCTCTTTGCTATGCCTCCTCTTTGTTACAGAAAGCCACACCATTTTCCATCAGCCACTCCTTGCGTGTAAAAATGAAAGTACAAACACGGAATTCTGAGAGAGTCCAAGGAAAGGAAGTTCTTCCTACCTCAGACACTCAGCCCAGGGCCAAGAGGGACCACTCCCAGCCGAGGATTGCCTAAACGACTCCTCTGGGCTCCAGGGTCCTTGGCAGGCAGCTCCAGCCTCCACCCAGCTCTGAAATCATGGACAGGCAGCGCTGGGCCACCTCCCACCTTGTAAGGATTCTTTGTCACTTGAAAATGGACAGTACAGACTTCCCTACAGACTCTTCCTCCACCAAGAAAACACGTCTTGAGTCAGCCGGTAGCATTAGGCAGCTTTGCGCTCATGTGTGAAGGTCTAGCAAGCCTTGAGGATTTACATGGGGTCGTTAGGGATTTACATGGGGTCGTTAGGGATTCCTGTGAGGGATCAGCCACTCAGCAGTATGCCTCCTGCAGGACACCTATTAGAGAGAAAGGAGAGTGGCTGCAGGCGCATCAGAGACCCTGCTGCCTGGCATCTCTCTAGTCTTCATCTTTGCTGCTGACCGCCACAAGCAGCAGAGACCTAAGGTCCCATCTGCACGATAAGACCCATGTTCAAATCCTGACTCTGCCAGGGACCAGCTGGGCAACCTCAGGCAAGTTACTTAACTTCTCTGAGCCTCATAGAGTATCTCTGTTCAATGAGGCTAATAATAATAGTGCCTACCTTGCAAGGCTGCCGTGAGAACGAATTGGGATGCAATGAGACTCTGATCATTCCATCCACTCTCCCTCTCCCAGTCTCTGCTGGTTCCCGGTTGCCTCCAAGATAAAAGCCAAGATTGGGGCATTCAAACCCCTCCCTATCAGACCCCCAACTCCCCTCTCCTTCATGCCCCGGAGATGCACTCCACCTCTGCTCCAGTCACAGGGGCCTACACTTCATCGCAGAAAGTTTCCCAAGCACATTCCCGCCAGGGGACAATGCTCGCACAGTAGGACCTCTGTGCTGCCTCCTGAAGTCTGGCTGGGGTGTGAGGTGGGAGCGCCCTGCCAGAGGACAGCGACCCTACCTGGTGCATCTGTGCACTGCCAGCTCCCAGACAGCAGGCACCTCAGAGTCTCCGGGATCCCGGTGGGGTCTTCTTCTTGGGGGCCAGGGGGCTAATCACCTAGAAAGAGAAGGCGGCTTCTGTGAAGAACTGCTGCGCTCCAGCTCCTGCTCCTGCCTTCCTTGGCTCCCTCCGGAAAAATGGAGAGCACCTGCCAGAATGGAGTGCCCGCTCACCCTTTCCCTACGGACCCGCAGCCCCCATGCGCTCCCGCCGCGAGAATCCACTCCCTGGCGGCGATGGCCTCTTATTTTTCCAAAGGGTCCTTCGCGCCCGTGTGTCTGCCGCGCCTGGGCTTGCAGCCGGGCTGCAGAGGCCGCGGGCGGCGGTCTTCACACTCCCCACCCGGCCCCGGGCGACGCTGAACCTGGGGCTCCCCTGCATGCGGAGAGGTTAGGTCAGGCGACTGGGGCTCAAAACCCTTGCTCTCTCCTGACTCGCTGATGCTCCTGGGCACAACTTTCCCTCTCGAAACCTCAGTTTCCTCCTCTGTGAAATGGGTAGGATAATACCCGGCCACAAGCAGAAGGGACCTAAGGTCCCATCAAACGACAGGAAGAATTGAACGAGATCCCGGATGCCCACCTGGCACAGACAACGCACTCAACGGATGGGCTGGGGCTGCAATTCGCATCCTGCTCGGGGCCAGCCGAGCCAGGGCGGCTCTAGGGGGAGCTGGGAACTCCCTGCTCCGCACCGGAGCACGGAAGTTGGTGCGCGCGGGGGGCACCCGGACCCAGTTTGTTAAAGCTTAAATAAACTGGGAGGCCCCCGGCCCTTTTGGCCCCAAAAACTAAAAACCCGGGGAGGGGTTTTTTGGGGGGGGGGGGGGCCCCCGGAAAACCTCCCCCCAAAGCCACCCCGCCCCCCCCAGGTCCCCCGGGGGGGCCCCCCCCCCCACGGGGGGGGGTCTTCGGGGTTTTCCCCCCGAGGCCCCCGGGGGGGATTCCCGAAACCCCCAATTTTAAAGGGCGCCAGACCGGGGATAAAAGGGCCGGGGGCCC